CACATGGCTTCAAACTTTCTCCGAACTTACTACCACGGCAATACCCACACCCCAGGACCCTAGGCCCTCCAAGCAAATGGTGGCCTCTCCTCAGGATAAGTTGATGGTTGCACCCCTAGTCTTAAATCTTCCAGTTCAGGGCTCTTAGGGTCTGCTGCTGTCAAGCTAAGCCTACCACCGGAATTATCTCTCAAGGGCAAATTCCATGCTGGGTGGCTCTAGGCTGTCTGGACCAGACTAGTTCCCAAGCTAGCCCTACCTAGAGTAGAATTCTCAGAGACCTTGTAAGTTTTCAAGGGTAGGAATGGATGGCTCCCTTCTGCTCAGAGATAAGTAGTCCTTGTGTCTTTGGCAAGAGCAAGAATTTTTAAAACACCTAGAACAGCATCTCTCTAGAAGACAGGAAAATAAATGAATTCTGAAATTCTAAGCACTTCTCTATAGATTTTAGCCATGAAAGCATAAAAAAATCTAGCTCTTGTGCCAATCCTTGAGCCAACTTCAGCTGTATGTGCATTTAAAACAAACAAAAACGCAAATATAAAGCAGAAAAATAAAGCAAGCAGGTTGATAAGCTTTTTTATGCAGAATGGTCAAGAACAGAAGTCAAGAAACTTCAGTTCTGGTCCTACCACTGCCACTCTAGCTGGGTCACTTGGAGGAGCTATTTAACCTCCCAGGGCTTGTTTACTTCACTGATAAAAAAGAAAGGATTGGGGAGCCTGGTCTAGATGTCTCTTAGATCTCTTGAAGTTCAAAAAAAAAAATCATCATTCTAAATTCTACGCAGTCGTGTTAAAAGCATCTCTACTAGGCAAACTGTGGATGCTCCTCCTTTATGACTTTGCGCACCAGATATTATTCAACTATGTTCAAGAGTTGACATTAAGAATAAGCACTAAAAATAAAAAGATGAATCTTCTATCTCGAATACAAAAAAAAGAAGTGGAATGGAAATAAACCAAAAGGAGACTTTTGCTTCAACATTTCTACAGAATATGGATCACTTTACATTTTGTACTCAAAGTTTTAAATTCGCTCCCTTAACAAGGAAACTGAAACAAGTAACAATCACCAACAAGAAACCCCACAGCCTTAGTCTTGGGCTGTATTTGAGAGGGAGCTTTGTGCCAAGTGCAAACAAAACTGTTGGCTCTTCTGCTTGCAGGCCCTGAAATTGCAGGAAAGCGGCTCAGGTGGCGCACCCTGAGCTGTCCGATCTGAGAGTGACTGCTGAATGATCGCACAGACCTGCCACGGAATATTCTACATCAAGTGAAAATGAGGGTTAGGCTAAGTTGGGAAAATGATTTTGATATAATTTAAGTGAAAAAAGTAGGACACAAAAACTACCCAAACACTATGGCCACAACCATCTAAATTTAGTTGATGAAAAGAAAATACAACAAAATTTTAACAGTAACTTGTGTCATAGTAGTGGGACTGTTTTCCTGTTTTCTCTACCTAAATTTTCTATGATTTTTTTCACACTTAAAATATTTTTAAATTGACCACTGAAGAAACAATTTAAGCAAACCTCATTCTAATTTACATTATTCCTCTCTAACCCAGCACTCAGTAAAAGTAACCGATCTTACTCATTGCTTTTTCTGTTTTTGTCTAGAATTCTCCCATGTCAGAATTAAAAATATTTTTGGCTACCAACATTATAAGTCTGTTTCTAAATATCTTGGGTAAAGAATTCAGAAATCAAGCTGGCAGAAATCAGGTCATTTTGTAAGATATGTATTTCTCAAACCAAAAAAGGACTTTGGACTGGCTTTAGCAAGCTCCCAAACTTTTCCTGGGAAAGATACTACAGGCAACACTTATTCCCAAGTTCCCCTCCTTCTCCCACATTCCTTAACCTTGGCGACCTATCAACATACTTTTTCTGTAAAGGGCTAGATAGTAAGTATCTTTGGCTTTGTAGGCCATATGGTCAGCTACTCAACTCTGCCACTGTAGTGCAAAGGCGCCATAGATGTTACGTAAATGAATGAGCGTGGTTGTCTTCCAATAAAACTTTTTACAAAAACAGGCATTTGGGGCCGGCCCCGTGGCTTAGCGGTTAAGTGCGCGCGCTCCGCTACTGGCGGCCCAGGCTCGGATCCAGGGCACGCACCAACGTACTGCTTCTCCGGCCATGCTGAGGCCACGTCCCACATACAGCAACTAGAATGATATGCAACGATGACATACAACTATCTACTGGGGCTTTGGGGGAAAAAACAAAAAAAGGAGGAGGATTGGCAATAGATGTTAGCTCAGAGCCAGTCCTCCTCAGCAAAAAGAGGAGGATTAGCACGGATGTTAGCTCAGGGCTGATCTTCCTCAAAAAAAAAAAAAAGAAAAAAACAGGCATTGGGCCAGATTTGGCTTGTGTGTAGTCGTTTGCCAATCTGTGGCATACAGCACACTGGAGAACACCCATGGAGCTCGGAGAGATAGAGAAAGACCCGAAAAACTGCTTGCTCCTTCACAGAGAATGGCCATCAAACCTTATTTTGATCGATCTACAAGAATTCTTTTTGAAAGTAGTGTACTAATGAATTTTTCCCACAAAAGACACTGAATTGGTTCCTCAAATATGGCAGTTCTCAACCATGGTATTGAGACAAACATAGCTGTAGAATATGTTGCAATTAATTTATTACTAATAATACAGTACTGTTTGATTTAAAAAAACATTTTTAAAAGGGTAGATTAATTTGCTCCCTATAGCCAGCCTGGACCTGTACACAACCCTGGGTGTGTCTGCAGTAGTCAAGGGCTCATGTACTCAGTCAGCCCATCTATGTTTGCATCAGAAGGAGCCTTACAGACGACTGAGTCCAGCTCGCTCCATCTGAAGATAACAAACACACTGTCTAGCTAACAACTCAAACATGTCAGGTTTGGATCAGTTACAGTCTTATTAATATCCATCAAAACATACATGAAGTCAAACAAGAGGAAACAGGAGATAGCCCAAGAAGGGTGAGAGGAAGTGTGATAAAGCCTCCTGCCAAGGCCAAGCTGGATAATTTGCTCAGATAGATTCTCTTCTTTTTATAAACTTTCATTGTTGCTCATCGTAGAAAAATTTGAAAATGCATGAAAGTAAAAAGAGAAAAAGAAAAGTCCCAGTACTATCATGGACCAACAACTATTGTTATCATTTTGTTCTGTTTCCCTTCAAATTCTTGTTCTGTGTATATTAGAAAAACAGATGTTTTTAATAAAATCGCTTTCTACTTTCTTCATGAAATACTATGTCATGAGCACTTCCCTATATTGTTTAATAGGGCTCAAAAAATACGATTTTGTAATGTCTGTATTAAAAGTGCATCAAATGCATGGACCATATTTATTTAAATTTCTTCCCTGCTGTTGGATATTTAGATCATATCCTTATTTTTTTATAATATTACATTAAAAGTTGAAAATAATCCTATGGAAGCTTATATAACTATTTAAATATAATATTTTCTATTTATGTATTTGACAGCAGGTATTCCCTAAAACAGAGTAATACTCTGGGGCCTGTCATATCAAGGCACATTAGTGACCACAGGAAGAGGTAAACGCCCCAGGAGCAGGCACAGTGGCACTGGACCCACGTAATGGAAAACTGGCCATCTGAGTCCTTGAACTTCTTTACTAGAGGCAGATTAGGTAGTAGAGTGAGTCAACATCACAACTGGGGCCCAACTGAGAAGGTGTCACAAGACTGAGCCTTGACTGTTCTCTCTGCAAAACCCAACAGAGGAAAACCGTTTTGACTCAACTGCAATTATTAAAATCGGGTGGGAGAACGGATGTTAAAGGAAAGCAAGGTTTCATTTATAGTATTTAGTAAATTTGTGGGATATTCCCTTTGAAATAGAAGGTCAACTAATTGGTCTTTCTCCCATGGGCATCTGGAGGAGGGTTCTCTGCTGAATGCTTTCTCTGCAGGGCCTGATGGGCACAACCTCATAACAAAGAGATGTGAATGCCAGCCTGGCATCAGCAACAGCATGGTATGCTTCCAAACGTGGCTGGGGGCTATGAAACTTCTAGAGCCTTTATCAGTAGAACCCAAATATATTTCCCTTAATCTAGGTGCCAACCAGAAAATTAAAACAAATTAATAATCTAGTTCATATAATTTATAACGCTGGAAATCTTCTCCCCCTAAATAAATTGCCTGCTCTTAAACAAGCCAAAGGAAGAGGAATATAAGATAACTTAGTGGAGGGAGGGAGTTACAATTGCCCTCTTGAGTTATATGTAAAAAAAATGTCCAGTTCAGATCCCAGTTTCCAAATTGAAAGATATGAGGTAAAAGGAACATATGTGTATTTTATAAAATACATAACATATATAAAATACAGCAAAATTAAGTCTGAGCCAGTCAAGGTAATACAACGTTATTTTTTTAAAGATGGGAAAAGGAACATTTCTGATTAAAATCCATGTCTAACATTGTATTTACCTACAAAATTTTTAGAAAGAGATTACTTCTCAAACCTAACTTTCCCAGAGTTATTTGGGGGATAATTCACATTTTAAGTGGAGAAACAAAAACAAGCACAAGGTGGTGAGGATAACTTTCTCCACCACCACCACCTCTCCCCTTCTGTACCTGTCTGACAAAGAGATCTGCGTGAACAGGACACTGTCCATAGCACAAGAACTTTGGGTATGCAAACAGAAAGGACAAGGACTAGAGACCCACCTCTCAACACCTCTAGAAGAAGCAAGTTACACGTCAATCTGTCGAACGTGGAAAGTAATCACTGCCACCTCTTACTCAGGACACTGGAAAGAGCTGGAGTCAATGCTTCAGGACAATGGCACTTAGGTGGCCAACAAACCCATGCGAAATAAACACTAACGTGTCAAATAGCACAGAGTTAACAGCCACAATATCTGATCGCAAACAACTCCGACAGGCCCCCATGAAGTGTTTGTTTCTCAAGCCCTGAGTCAAGTTTATTGGAAAGTGTTGGTAAGGACACAGCACACACACTTACCTTACCAGTGCGTCTGGTTTGCTTAGTTGGTTATTAGGAATACAGTTTTCCATTAAGTCCTTGTGTGCACCTGGGCTCTTGCTGGTGCATTTCTGCTTCTTCTCATTTTTACTGGACGAGGAAGGAATGCTCCCATTTGTAGCGCTGTGACTTCGCGGTGAGGAGTTCACAACTCCACTGGCATTTTTGTAATTTTTTGAGGAAGCAGTGCATGAGTCCTCTTTCAAGAGATTTTCTGTACTTCCCACAAGATCATTATTTAATCTTTTACTGTTGATATGGTTTTCCATATACTCGATTTCTTGTATTTTAGAGTCTACAGGTTGTAGAATATTGTTGTTATTTATTCCTAGGTTGTGTTTTTTGGCATCCTTGTCTTTTTCTTTTCCTTTTTCTCGGTATTCTATCTCTGGCAAAGTTGTGGAGAGTTTTTTGTTGGCTGGAATACCTCCGTTATGATGTATAAGGATTGAGGAATCCATATCAGGTAATCCTTTGGCTGCTACAATACCAAAAACAAACCAACAAACACAAAAAACCACACTGGAATATTTAGTTGTATAAAAACACAGAATAGACTGATTCAACAAACTGCAGTATCTATGCTTAGAAACTCACTACATTAATTTGCAAACTTATTTAGAAGCAATAACCACACCACATTATGCTAACTTCAAGAAGTAAATCCAAATAAATTTGAAAAGCTGTACATTTAGAAGATTACCATCATTTACAAACACCAAGCCACTAAACTTTTGGCCTTGCAAATAAGATGAGGATTTTATAATTAAGTCATACTTCATTTATCAGTCAAATCAAACGTCTATCACTGGGGTGAGAGGACACAGGAAGATCTGACTCTAAGAGACTATATTTTAAAAGATGCTTGGATGAAACAAACTGTTAATGACTTTACTGAAAAGAAAGAGATTAAATGAAACAAGAGGGCCGGCCCCGTGGCTTGGCGGTTAAGTGCGCGCGCTCCACTGCTGGCAGCCTGGGTTCGGATCCCGGGCGTGCACTGGCGCACTGCTTGTCCAGCTATGCTGAGGCCGCGTCCCACATACAGCAACTGGAAGGATGACATACAACTATCTACTGGGGCTTTGGGGGAAAAAATAAATAAATAAAAAATTATAAAAAAAATAAAATAAAATAAATGAAACAAGAGAAGAGCTATGATGTTAGGATACAGAGCATCTATCCTTTTCTTGACTCTAGCATTGAGGTAATAAGAAGTCTATATTATTTACTAGTCCACTTGTAAAGAATTTTCTGTATCAGGTCTACACATTCCAATCTGCCAAAGTCTACTCGAAGAGATATTTTTGCACCACACCAGAGAATAAGATTTTGGCATATATCAACTAAAAACACGACCCCAAACTTTGAACTCTCAAACTAAAGATAACTGGTATTGCTGTCAACTCATCTACTGAATTGGTAATACGCTCATTAGAGAAGTCCTACTAGAAAAGGTTCAATTTAAGATCCACACTACATTATATGAATCATTTAGTATGGGACCTATCTATCTTGGCTCTACTCAGAAGAATTTTGACTTATAAAACAGTTCTATATGTCCACATCTCTCTCTTGCTTATACTTTGGTTCTTGGTTTGCTTCAATTACAAACTCACATGGTTATATATACTACTTTGCTACTGAGAATAAATATTTTAAAATATTTATAACAAATATTAAAATATAAAATAAGTTATAAAAATAATAAAATAAAATAACCATATTTAAAAGCACATGGTCCTCAGACACTAGGTAGAAAACATCACCCACACTCTGTATTTCACGACCAAACTAAGCAATGCCGTGAAGAGGAACACCAGAAAACAGGAAAATCCTTGGTAATTTTCTGAATTCTAGCAACTTTTCCAAAAAAAGGATTCTACTGACAGACAAAATAATGACTAACCTATTAAGCCAACAGCTTTAGGGTAAAGACCTACCTTCCTCGGCCTCTTTTTCTTGCTTCTGTAACATCTGCTGCTCCGGGGGGAGGGCTTGTTGAAGAAGCTGCATGTAAAATTCGTTCTCTTTTTGCACTTCCTTTTGCTTCCTTAGCCGCATTTTGTAGCTTACATAACTTTTGAAGCCAAAGCCCAAAGTGACCACAGGGTACCCAATACTAGAAAGAAGACAATCCAGCCGGTAAGTTCAAGTTAAAAACAACAAGCATGTGCATCAAGCACATGAGAACATCTACAACTGAAATTAAGAAATAAATTCTAGATGATGATGGTAGTTGAGTATTCAGTAAACACATAAATAAATGTAATGTCTGCTGTGGAAATCGGAGGCATTTGGCACACAGAACAAACCCCAGGGAACAGCAGGACTGCTGGACCACAGAGGCTGCCCGTCAGACTGGCATTCTTCAAACTAACTCAAGAAGTTACCACAGTGACTGCTGGATACAGTCGCTAACGTCTTTGATTAACACTGAACTGCCTTGTGCATTATTAGAACCTCAGCATCTGTATGCTTTTAAGAATATAACAGGGTGGAGATTTTATGGGTGATCATAAGTAAACATCGTAAACGTTAAAAATCAAAAAGACATCATTTGGTTTTTAATACTAGAAGGATGGTCAAATTCAGGTGACTACTTTAACTTAATCTTCTTGCTGCCTGAGGGGTACTGTCACCAGCTATTCCTGGAAAATTAGTTCATAAAACACTCTGTCATACATAAATTCAAAAATCATTTAAATAAGTATCTGACATTATCAGTGTTAACATTTGGTTTATACTCCCAAACTAAACCAGCTGTACTTATAACCCTAATCTCTGGGATAAAAAGTTGAAATATTTTCATTCAGCTCATCAGTCTGTCTAACACCATTTGAAAGCCTCTGCAAACACTGTCAAAACTCATATTAAGCTTCATTAACATTAAAACTTATCAATTATAATTAGTCTAAATGTGATCTCACTACAAATTCAAAGTGACAAGTTTTATTGACCAGGTTTATTTAATTCATTTATTTGTGAAAAGACTTTAAAAATATTGGATACTATTTTTTTTAGTTGATTTCTCTTTATTTTGGTTTCTGCCATAAATATTAGCAAAAATTAGTGTGTTTAAAAGAAATATACATTAAGTGGTGATTTCCACAACAGTGCTCATTTTAAAAAATGTCTCATGGTTAAGGTTAAATGAATAATGTCTTAATATTCATTTACATTTCCTAAGGAAAAGTAAGTTTCCTTTAAAAATCATTAATAATACTCTCTTGCTTTTGAAAACAGACTAAGGAAATTATAAGTTCATTTAAGCTTCATAAAACAGCCACATATTTCATCAAGACTTTTTGGAATCATTATCTGATTATAATAAAAATAGATAACATTTATCAGACACCTATGTGCTTGGCATTAAGTTAAACACTTTACTTTTATCACGTCATTTCATCTTTCTCATGACCCCAACGGACAGGTCCCCAGTATACAGGTCAGAGAACTAAGGCTTAGAGAGGGTGACATGTCCAAGGCAACAAAGCTGTCAGGGGACAGAGCTGGGATTCAAACACTCATCTGCCTGAATCGAGGGCTCATGCTCTTTACCATCATGTTATGTTGTCTTCTGGGTTCACGTAAAATCTCTAAGAAAAAATTTTAAATTGTATTTACCATTCTACACTAAAAACATTGACTTGAATTACAGATTAAGAATACATAATACTCACCAGTGAGCAGCAAATGGACGGCAAAGGTCTACATGAAAATTTTTGAGATCTTTAAATCTAATTGCTGCTTCAATATAAACAAAGAGTATCCAGAGGGACACTGTGGGCAAACACACTCCTCTCTCTGTGGGAAAGCAGCAGAGAGACAAGCATCAATGATACATTAACTAACATAAGAGATGGATTGTTTGGGAGACTGGTTAAACTACAATAACTTTCATTAAGACTTTCAAACTAATTAAAAAGCAATTTGATCCAAACTGAAAGCTTTTATATGACAAAAAGATGCCATGGAATCATAGACAAAAATAAAAGACAAACAATCTAGCAGAAAAATATTTACAACATATGTAAAACAAAGGAGTCATAGCCCCAGCATACAAAGAGCTCTACAAATCAATAAAAAGGCACCTGAAGAAAAAAATCTGCAAGTCATAAAAAATATATATATATAAATAGCTAAAAAACATATGAAAAGATGCTGAACTTCACTACTGATTAGGGAGAAACAAATTTAAAAAATGGAATTCCATTATTTTAACCCATCAGATAAGCAAAAATTTAAAAGACAGGTAAAAGTATAGGGAGGGTATAGTAAAGGGTTCATTCTCATACTTGGCAATAATATAAATTGGGGCAACTTTTTTAGAAGGCAATTTGGCAGTATAATTAAATTTAAAACACTTAGACCTTTGACCCAGAAATTCCAATTCCAGGAATCTACCCTATAGAAATATAAAAGAGCCCTGGCATAAATGTATAAGAATATTCACTGTATTATTATTTGCAATACCAAAAATTTAGAATTAATTTAAATGACTATCAATAGGAAACTGTCTAATTATGATATAATGAAATATGATGTAGTTTTTCAAAAGAATGAAGAGCTATACTAATATGAAGTATGTAAAAAAATAAACTCTTAAGAATGAGTGTCAGCACAAAGAAATGTTTCTGACACTTAAACACTGTTAAAAAATTTTTTTAACTACAAGCTCATATTCCTTTTCTAATTAAAAATAATTTTCAAGGGAGGAAAAAGCAACTTGCAACAGAATAAATAAGACGCAAATAATGGAATAACTTTCATTGGTTTTTAGAATCCAAATCTGCAGGCTAGGTCCATCTCTGTCAGGACATGACTAATAATGGGATATTTTATGAAGATGGACCACACAGGCATGAGGTCCAGTAACTCTGGAAAGAGCTCCTTTGAGACTGTGTAAGGCGAGCAAGTTACAGAAGAAAGAATAGGAAGGAAAAATCAGTGACCTGAAGGACTAAATGGCTTTTTGCTAAGGATCTTTAGGATGAAACAAAAGAAAAATCATAGAATTTTGGAACTGGAAAGAAGATCATTTAGTCCAACTTCCTCATTTTATTGAAGAGTAAAGTGAGGCCCAAAGTTTATACAAATTGGGTCAAAGTTCACAGAGAAAATATTAAGTCAGAAGAACCTCAGTTCCCCGAGACCTAGTCTGCAAGGTAAGAAGACACTCGAAGCTCTGTGAAGGCAGCTAATGGCCTCAACCATTCTTATAGATTTAACATACCAACAAAAGGGTATTTTTACAACGTAGAAAGACAAACAGCAATCCTTAGGATAATGCATTTTCAAATTCATTTCAAAATGCATTTTCAAAAATTTATATTTCCTACTCCCTATACTAATTTCTAAAGCTGTCATACATAATAAACACATTACAGAAAAAAACACAAAAATTTAGACATAAATACCTGTATTTCTACACCTATCAAATAAATAAAATAAAACCACCTTGGAAATATCTTTGGACAAGTGTAATAGTCACGTTGTACATACACAGTTTTGTATCCTGTTTTTTTCCTCTTAACAGCAAGGAAAAAAAGTTTATGATATAAAATTATCATTCTTTTGTGGCAATATATAATTTCATCAACCATTCCTAATATTCTTAAGAAAGAATTTAAACTTTTAACAATTGGAAGAGAAATTAATCCCAAGTTATATAACTGCACTCATATTTGTCAGGCCCAATGAGAACAGAGAGTTTGTTTTGTTTTGTTTTGTTTGTTTGGACTAATCATTCCAAATTAAAACACACTTCACAACTTAGCTATTCCCACACGCATTTCTGAGTCTAGAGCTAAAGAGAGGCCAGTATCATTTATGACCCCAGCTTCATTGCTGCCCTGTGGGTCACCACTGAGCTCGTTCCCAATAGGTTCTATTAATAGTTTTATGAGTAGTTTTTTCTCAACTACTAAGACATTATTAAAGTAATTTAGGAAATCATTACGGTTCATCAGAGCCACAGATTATCTGAGCTAGAAGGCTCCCTTAGACATTATCTAGATTACTCCACCTTCATATGACAGAGAGTAAATTGAGACCTAGAGAGAATGGCGAGTATAAATGGCAACTCACTCAAAACTGAGGCCCAGGACAAGGAAATATAAGTAAAAACTGGTATAAAGAAAAATCACTTTAATGAGAGGAAAGCAGACTGAGGAACCGTCATGCTAGTTATAAATCAAGTCAGATATGAGAGAGTGCTCAAGATGGAGAAAACCATGCTCAAAGTGGATACTTTAAAACACAGAGCTGAATTGTGTCTTCTACATGAGCCAACATCATCCTCTTAGCAGCTCTGAGAAGAGGATGAAGGTTGCTCCAGAGAGCTTTCATTAGTCAGCGCTCCCTCGGTGGTCAAAACGCTACAGGTTGCAGCTGGGCCTAAGAATCAAGTTTCATGCAGCTTTGCAGATGAGCCTGATGATCTGAGAGCCAATCCTCACATCCCCATGCATCCCATGTTCAGGCTTCCTCAGTGGACCAGAGCTGTCAAAACACCTCATCTCATCTTAGTTTGAAATAGCAAAAGTATAGCTCTAAGAAGAAGTGAGGTGGCTGTGTAGCTCCACTCAAGTCAGAACACACCTGAAATAGTACATTTTGGTTAAGAGAATAACTAAGAACTAGGGGATCTGGATGGTGAAAGTGCTTAAAATAACATACAAGGAGAAGCTGACGAAACCAGAGATGTTTTGCCTACAGAAAAGAAGACTTGAGAGGATATGACAGTGTCTTTAAATCTCTAAAGAAATATTAACGTGGATGGGAGGTTACATTCATTCAGTGTGGCTCTACTGCAGGGGGGTCCAGTGTTTGGGCGTGAGAAAATGGTCTGTAGGCCCCTTGAAATTTTAAGGAAAAGTTTTGTATATTCCCTATATTTTTCTGGGGAAAGCCTTTTTTTTTTTTTTTTTGTGAGGAAGATCAGCCCTGAGCTAACATCCACGCCAATCCTCCTCTTTTTGCTGACGAAGACCGGCCCTAAGCTTACGCCTATTGCCAATCCTCCTCCTTTTCTTCTCCTTTTTCTCCCCAAAGCCCAGTAGATAGTTGTATGTCATAGCTGCACATCCTTCTAGTTACTGTATGTGGGACGCGGCCTCAGCATGGCCGGACAAGCGGTGCATCCGTGCGCGCCCGGGGTTCCGAACTCGGGCCGCCAGTAGCAGAGCACGCACTTAACCGCTAAGCCACGGGGTCGGCAGCTGTGGGGATGCTTGTACCAAATAAGGGTTCAACTAAATGACCTCTGACATTCTTTTCAATGCTGAAACTCCAGGAACATTTTTCCTATTTGGCACATGGCTGTCTTCCAGTCTACCTAAATAGAAATCACTTTAACTTTTTAAAAAAATGGATATCTTCATAATAAGAGTTGGTAACTGAAATGCCTACAATCAAGAAGTCAAATCATAAAGGCTTCAACTTTTGATTCAATTATGAAAAAAAGATAAAATATATTTTAAAGGTATATTATAATCTACTAGGAAAAGGCAACTTTAAAATGTCCACATTAAACTCAACTCTAAATAATTTATTCAAAGCAATCACCACACTAAAAAAGTTTGAATCTAAGATTTCTATCCACCTAAGACACCATTAAGACTTACCTGTGTGCCATACATACTGAACCCACACATATGTGCTAGCAGCAAAAAAAAGCCACTGTATGGGGATGAACAGCAGACATATTATATTTGACGTGAATGCCACACAAACAAAAAATACTGAGAAGGCCTATAGGGAAAAACAAAATAAAATAAAAAACACATATTAGAACTCGTTATTTTCAAACAGAGATTATTAAAAGCATGTTGGACAAAATCTGAACTACCATGCAATAACTACAGAGCAAGTTACAACAGGAAATTTTAAACATTTTAAATCAGCCATATAAAAAGTAGTGGTTAATTTAATATTAAAGAGTAATTCTATTTATGGCCTCAAATCATGAGGAAGAACTGGACCAGGACAAACTGAGGTTGGTTCACATTGAGTTCATCTGAACTCCACAGGTGGGTTACCTAAAAGAACTAGAATTTTAACACAGAAAAGGCTCCTCTCTCCTCACAAAACATTCTTAAAGATAGGCTGTTGGAACACAGATGAACCACAACAGTAGTAAGAATTATGATGACATTAATAATTTTAATAATGCTGCCTTCCTCTGGACACACCACTATCTATTACCAATAGGACATGAGCTCAAATCCATCTTTTCAATGCATGGACTTGCTCTGACCAAAGCACCAGGCCTGGGTAGAAGAGTCACAGGTTTAAGATGTGGCTATGGGACACAAGAGAACCACAAGTCAACCAAGGGAAGAAGCCCAGGCTTGTGTCCTTGCTCTAACCCAGCAGTTCTCAAAACATGGTCTGGGGATCCCAAGGGGTCTCTGAGATCCTCTCAGAGAGTTTTCCAGGTCAAAATTGTTTTCATAATAATACTAAGACCTTATCTACCTTTTTCATGTTCATTCACTCAGGAGTACGGTGGCGTTTTCTAGAAGCTACATGGATATTGCAATCAACTGAGTTCAGAAGCAGATATGAAAATCCAGCTGTCTCCCATTAAGCCAGACATTAAAAAGATTTGCAAAAACGTAGCCAATCTTCTAATTTTTTTTGTTTTGGAAAATATAGTTATTTTTCATTAAAAAAATGTAATTTATATTAACAATAATGGGTTTGTTATTGTTATTTTTAAGTGAATTCATAAGTAAGGATTCAAATTTTTTTCAGTTTTAATTTCCAATACAGGAAACGTGGATAGATGTAACCCACATAAATAAAAGCTCTTTGGAGTCCTGAATAATTATTAAGAGTGTTAAGGGGTCCTGAGACCAGAAAGTTTGAGAACCACTGCTCTAACTCTAACCTAATTCCTCAGAAGTACTTCAGAGTAGGACTGGGCAATTATTGCTTCCTCCACTCCCACCTCCCTCCCCAAGTCCTCCCGCTCTCCCTCCCCTTCTTCTCACTGGAATGGGAGGGGAGGAGGGAGCCTAATGATTTGATCAGTGGGTTCAGATAAAATAGTCTTAGAGGTCAGTTTCAGTCCACAGACCCCATTAGCTCAATACAGTCTCCTAAGTATTGTTAATAAAATCTACTTTAAACAGTTTCACTATCAGTTATAGAAGATTTTCTCAGAAGGGTAATTAAATCCTTTATGTTTGAAAAACATGTATTAATAAACATACCAGTCCCTGGTATCTGAAGGAATCATAGACGCTCCTGATGAAAAGCCAAAATGGCCACAGGTATTCAAATCTGAACTCCAGGACAAAATCTGCCAGGAGGACAAGTGCCCACACTACCAGGAATTTCAGGTATAAAAATGTACTGCAAAACACAAAAATAACGAATTAATTCAAAGTCATTTGTGAAGAAGTAGAAAAAGAAAAGGCACTATTTTGTTTAAGAGACAAAAGATATCTTCATATACCATGAAAACAATGGAGATAAAGGAGAAAAAGAGACGCCGCCATGGCCCATCTAAATTTTACAAGCTCTGGTGTTGATTCTGAGACCACAACTATCAAAACAAGATGGTGACCAAAAATACTTAATTCCATCTAAAATGGAAAAAAAAAAATTAAATCTCACCACTATTTTAAAATGTGCTAAGTGTCTGACTTCAAAATACTGCAACACTCTCAAAATTACAGCTTTCACGCTGTTCTTCATTAGAAGAAAATGTCACGGTTGAAAGGCTTCAAATTTGCTGTTTTCCACCCCTCTACATCCGTCTGAGGAGTCTCTGAAATTCTCGATGCATATCCCTACATGCTTAAGAATTCTTTCTCTCCTCTCTCCTCTTGCCTCTCTGTAGCATTCATCTGCGTTAACCAAACAAGAACCAAATTACTTCCCCAAATAGGCAGAAATTAACTTAGGGAGCAGATGCCAATCACTACTAAGGGCTGTGAGGGTACAAAAATGTACATTAAAGAAAAAATCCTACAGCATCTCAGCCTTGCTCTAGCTGAGATGTAAATGTGTGCTCCTAGTTCCCTCTGGACTTAGGTTAAATAGAAGGACACTCTGACAAGCCAGTCAGAACACATATCTAAGCACTGCAGTAGCTCAAAAGTAGGTAAAGACATGGATAAAAAAATTATTATTTTTCACATAATCTAAAAGTCCATTCTTCTAGTTCATTAGTTCTAAAATAAATAATAGAAGCCTTCAGATTCTATCTATTAATAAGCCCCTAATTCTATGTCCTTAACCCGATCAATTCTAGAGCAGGTTAAATTCAGGTATTTTTTTAAAAAAGGTTTTCTAAGCTATACAGATTGGAAATACCTAAAATTCACTTTGACTTGGGCTAGAACCTTGCATGGTGTTGTGCAATGCATACATTCCAATATTGATGTGATTAAATTAGCTGTTTGAATATACACCACCAACAACAAAATCAAGACTTTCAATAAATAATTTTGAAACATATTAAAATAAGGTACAAAAAGGGGCTGGCCCAGTGGCACAGGCAGTTAAGTGCCCATGCTCCGCTGCGGCGGCCCAGGGTTCTCCGGTTGGGATCCTGGGCGCGCATCGACACACTGCTTGTCGAGCCATGCTGTGGCAGTGTCCCATATAAAGTAGAGGAAGATGGGCACGGATGTTAGCTCAGGGCCAGTCTTCCTCAGCAAAAGAGGAAGATTGGCATCAGATGTTAGCTCATGGCTGATCTTCCTCACACATACACATACACACACACACAGAAAAATAAGGTACAAAAAGACATATACCTGGGGGGAAACAACGAAAGCAGGATTCAGCATTGAGGATTCTTTCTGTGCCCTCTGAAGCCACACAGGTAAAAGATGTCAAGAATAGACACATATGACCCTTAATGACACAGTATCATAATGATAAATAATTTGCAACCAGGGTCAATTTCTTTCTTCTATTTTTTTTTTTATAATTTTATTTATTTATTTTTCCCCCAAAGCCCCAGTAGATAGTTGTATGTCACAGCTGCACATCCTTCTAGTTGCTGTATGTGGGACGCGGCCTCAGCATGGC